TGTTTCAGACTAGAAAGAAATTTAATTCATGCTGCTTTGAAATATATAAGAAGTTATCTGAAATGCAGGGATTTCCAGTGTGCTGGAAAACATGTTTACATGTTTTTTAATTACTACATGTTGAATCATAGAATGAGAGCATCCAGCTTGACAGCATTAAAACTGGAAAGCAAATCCTATCAGAGTTTCCAGTTCCGTGCTGGAAATGCCAGCTCATGCCTATAGGAAACAGGAATTGATGTCACGTACCAGCTATCATTTGAAGCCAGCTATTGTGAAGGATGTGCTTGAGTACCAGCAACTTCTGTGGACCACACTGAGGTCCTTGAAGTACACATGGACTTCACTGACTCAAGCACTCTTCCTCCGTCACTCCCGGGTTTGCGGCCTCAGCCAGAGGCTGCTCTGGAAGATGAGAGTGCTTCCAGTGAGTACAGCAGGTTCTGCATCAAACACTGTACTTGGGTTTAGTTTGTGGTTTTGTGTTTTGTTTTTTTTTTGTCTGAAACATTTCTGGTGGCAGAAAAGCAACGAGCCTCCTCCCACACCCTCAATGTTTGTCTTTTACTGCGAGTACAAATCGCAAAACTACCAGGAGTGAGAGGTGATCTGAAAGAGGCAGAACCTCATAAATTGTTTGTGTGGGAAAGGCTGTCCTTCCTTTTCTCTAACTGATGGCATGCCAAGTTTATTTTACAGTATTTACAATAAGATTTGTTTGTTTTGATGCCCTTTGTATGTTGTTAGGGAAAAAGCAAAAAGAAAATCTCTGGGAAGTTTATACTTTCTGATGAGACAGAGTTGAGGCTTGAATTTTCTTTCCAGTCCGATACGTTTTACTAGAAGTGTAATATATCAGGGATATGAGATTGCAATTGGATGAGCTATTACTGAGCTGTCGTTTATTTTCTCTGTATGAGTTTGGTGCTTAAGAAAGACCTCAGACCAGCAGACTAAGACAGTGAATTTGTTAGTTCATTCCGAGAGCAGACACAGGATGGGCAGGAACAACACTGGTTTCTGCTTTCTGCGTCTCATCTCTGACTTCAGCACGTCACTCCAGGAGCAGGAAGAACGTGCAGCCTCCGCCTGTTTAGTTGAGGTCCAGACAGATGTCAAGGAGAACAAATTTATCCGTGACGGAACGGTCCCTGGTGTGGCTGTCCAGGCAGCAGATTGTTGGCACAAGGGCTGACGTGCCCGCCAGGTCCAGCACACAGCTCTGGGGGCAGCACGCTCGGGTACGAGGAGAAGCCTCAGGTGTCCCTCAGCAGCCAGCCCTGCAGGCCAAACACCCCTGCGTCACAAAGACACTGCGACACCTCCAGTCCTCGATACTTGAACATTGACGCCACCAGCTATTTGGCTGTTAAATTTTTGGAGTTCCCTTTAACAAACTAGGTACCCTGGTGCTAATGGGTAAATTCTCAGCCATGGTGTGAAGGCCCAGGGTTTGATCATCAGCTGTGGGGGAACTGATTTTAACTGAGAGGTGGTCTATTAAATCATGAGATGCTGGAAAGGGAATGACTATGGCCTGTCTCTTCCAACACAAGAACTAGAGGGTATCAGGTGTTTGTTGGGTGGTATGAGGTCTACCAGGCATCTTCCAAGTAACTGGAAGAGACAACCAGTGGCCGCTGCTAATCACACAGGAAACTGCTGGAGGTGGGAAGGGTTTCTCAGGTGCCTGCTTTGATCTCATTTCTGTTCTCGGTCACCGCTTAGGCAGAAGGAAGCGTTTACTTGATTTACAGCAACTTTAAGTAGAACATCCTATCCTGAGTCTGCAGAGCAGGTCATCAGTTGGTATGGAAAGCCCTTCCAGGAAGGCAGGTACTGCTCTTGTGCTCTTGTTGCATTGAAAAGGAAATAGAGGTGTTTGGTTTTAATGCCAAAGCCTCGATTGTTTGAACCAAACTACTGAACACATTGTAGGGTCTTGAGTTATGGTAGGAGTTGAGAAATAAGAGACTAATGGTATATTTTGTGTGCGGTGACAAATAGCACAGAATTGTCTTACCTTTCCCTAACTTCTGCTGTGAAATGCTGGGTAGATGCAACATCTGTTCTCTGTGTGGTGGAAACATTCATTAGCAAGTGCTGTGTCTGGCAATGAAGCATGATTGCCAAATGCCAGAAGCTGTTCCTGTAGAGCTGGGAAGGGATTTTCGTAAGGGCAGACTGTCTCGCTGACCCCCCGTCATCCCTGCTGACGGAGCAGCCATCACCTCCTCCCTGGCAATTCCCTTAGCAGGATGATACACGCAAGTCGTGTGTGATAGCTGTATAGACATGCCCTCCTCTTTCCTAATGCTGACGTGATATATACACCGGAAAGCAGAGAAGAATATTTTAGGGTCAGTAAGTCTCTTTCAGCAAAGTTAATGCTGGGAGATGCTGGCACGACTGGTCACTGTTTAGTTTACACCTGTCAGAAGCAGGCAGCCTCTCAGCTCCTATGTTTGGGCAAGTGTATTCATCATATTTAGCTTTTACACAGTATTCTTTTCATCTTCCCTGCACTTCACAATTGTTAATTAATCCCACAGCACCCAGGGATTACTCGTAACACTTTACAAGGGAAAGCAGAAACAAGCAAGAAGAGGTCAAATGACTGGGCCAAGGTCGCGGAAGAAATTTTGTCTAAAGAACATTAGGTTCTGAAAGACTAGAGTGTTGTTAACTGGTCTGTCCTTGGATGTTAGCCTCCGTTTTGGGGGAAGGGGGAGTTTCTGGGGGGCAGTTTTGATTCTGTCTAGTGTATTTAAAGCTCCCCTTTTATTTGTTCCCTTCAGCACCTTTTTTTTTCTGAGGCAAATGGAGGACAGAGGGTTTTTGTCTTTAGAGGGTGATGGGGAATTTCCAAGAAGGGAAAATGTCTCATGTTCTGGAACTTTTACACATGATCTTTTCACTGTGCAATTACAATTGGGGGCACCTGACTGATGAAATTAATTGGTTATGTTTTCAAATCATTGCAAAGATCCAGATACCCAGTTCACTTTAAAAATAAAAGATTTGCCCCTCTGGCACCCGTGGGCCCTTTTGAAAGGTCTGTACTGATAACAGCAATCCAGTAATTTATCTGACAGTAAATACTGCAAATACAGAATACGCTTATGGTGTTTTGTTCTCCATAGGACTTGAAAGATGACCGGAGCGATGAAGAGGAGGAAGATTCTGTTACAGATAATGAAGAAGAGTCCACAAAGAATGGCAGCAAGAACGGCTGTGGGTCAAGCAAACATCTCCTAAACAGCAGTCACCACTAGCCTCCTCCTGCCTCGCCTCCTGCTGTGATTTCTGCTCTGGTTTTAACCCAACCTACAGGATAGAATTTAAGTCAAAAGGCTTATGAGAGGCTGTGATTGATTTATTGTTGGCTACTGGACCTGGAAAAAAGCCCAGGTTAGAGGGGAGGGAAAAATTGCATAACATGACAAAATGTGTTAATGACCCACTTTCTGAATCGTCGCTGAGTGTTTGGAAAGACGTTTGGACACACTGACTGCCAGTGCTCAACGAGGTCAAAGCTCAAGAGCGTCAGATCATTTAGTGTTCCGTTGATTCCAACGTGGTTTTTCAATCTGATACAAGATATATTTCACCAAGCAGTTTAATTCACAGATGTTTTGTGGTAGGTGAAACTCCACATTAGGAGTGAACTCCATTAGGAACCAAAATTACATAATGTGGGAAAAATTTGACAGTGGTGTACAGTGACTAGTATTTTAGTCTTTACTTTTCAGTTTAGACCCTCATCAAAATGGCTATTTTTTTGAGTTAGGTTTCGTTTCCTGGAGGCCAGTGGAAGCTGACATGGAGGAAGTAAAATTCTTGCCTGTGAAGACCTGACTTCACTGCAGAAACACAGCCTTTCTCCAAAATACGCTGCATGATAGATAGCTCAAATGTTGAGTTATAAGGTTTACCTGTCAAGGAAGTCACTGTTGAAATAGTAAAACTCAGCCCCAGTTCTCCATTGAGCTCCAGGTTTCACAAATGTCTTTTATCTCAGTCATTTTGGCCCAGTGTTAGATGAGAAGGTGCAGTGGGGAGGGAAGATGCTGAACCTTCTCGCAGGTTCTTTTGCACTTCTGGTTTGTCTTTGAAACTGTTGGACACCCCGTGCTCCTGACACACCTGCAGCCCGGAAGATTAAAAATAAATCTCATCCATTCCCTTCTTGTGAGCTTGTCTCACACGGCAGCACTGGATGACCATCGTCTTAGTTCTGTTTCGTGGTTCCTGCGCGTTCACGGCGTGTATCTGGGTGTCGGGGGAGCACGGGACTGGCAAGGAATGTCGCATCGTCAGTGCTGTGTATTCATTTGATACGAGGATCTGTGTTTCCATCTCTGCCCCTCTTGAAAATTGGGAATCGTATCAACTAGAGCCAAACTTGGATGTGAGTATGTGGCTTAGGCCACGTACCGTTATTTATGCTGTAAGAAGTGGAGGAACAGTGGATGTTTTATTAGCTCCTCTTACCAAAAGTGCCTTTGTCCTGATGTTCTAATGCTAGTGCAGAGTGCAGCAGCAGTCTTAGGCCTGGGGCTTTCCAAGAAGACCCTGGGCCTTCTAAACAGGGTGGTATCAGTCTCATTTCCAGACGAATTTAGCTCACGAGGTCATAAATTATTTATGTCACAAGTTTTAAAGGTGAGAGGCTCTCCATCTGGTTCTACAGTAGCTGAGATCATCTGGTGAACTAGATCCACGAGGTTGATGGAAAACAGGGGCAGCACTGCTAGAACAGCCTCAGAGCAGAGCTTTCAGAGTTGCTCAGGCAGGAACTTGGTGACCTACGGGAAGTGCTGTACACAGACTTGTTTCCTCAAGGTTTCCTTGGCAAAGGGGGATATAATTCAGTGACTGAAGCACTTGAAAGAATGAGAAATGTTTGGAGTCTCAGACATGAAGAAAGAAGTGTTTTCTGTGCCGTTACAAGAAACTGTAGGAGCACTTTGTTACAGAGGCTGGTAGTGTGAGAGTATCTACATACGGTCTGTCGAACTAGACCATGTTTAATTTTTACTTATGTTTTGGACCGCGTAATATCCCAAATGTTTTGTGTTTTACTACAAAGAGAATTACACCAAGAGAAGAGTAAAGCCTGCAGCTTCTGAGGAGGATGGGAATTGTGCAGGAGTGGGATGGGACGGACTCCTGAACCCGCGGTGGTAGTTCAGTAGCTCTGCTGGGGCTGAGCAGGCAGAATTCCCTCCGTAGTTGTTGTGTAGCAGTGTGCTGCTTTACACAGCTGTGGAGAATACCTTAAATACTGCCATGAGGGTTTACTGGAAGTGTAACTACTTATTACATCATCTAAATCAACTGGTGCGTTTGGCAGGGTCACAGTGGCTTATCAGGGCCTGTTTATTGCCTACATGAGAAGAACTGGCCTTTCCTAACAAAATGCAGAAACCCAACATCTTGGAGGCTTCACGCTGCCTTTGAGAGCAGTGGAGACAACGAGGCTTTCTACAAGATGTGACGGGGTCTGGGGAGATGGCCGAGGTGTTATCATTTGATTTTGGTGCCAGAAAACATTCCTGAGAAAGGAATTCAGGGAAGGAAGCACAAGGAATGATGCTGTCACAGGAGTGAGCCTCTGAACAACTACTGAGTTTTAAACTGGAATTTATAGTCTCATTGAGGCCAAATCTTGCCCTTCCTACTCAGACAAGTCTCCCACTGAAGCCAATTAACTCTATTGGAGTTTTGCCTAGGAAAAATTTTGGATTGCAGTTATCCAATGTAATTACAAGACCTGTTGTTTTAAATCCATGTGAAACCAGGGTCTTAAAGGAAAAGTAAAGGGCAGATAAATACATGCAGACATAAAATACTGAGGCAAATTTTGGGTGAGTAGAGACGAACATGGAAGAAAAAAGCATCCTGAAGGTGAAGATCAAGTGTAAGCACAGTAAACAACCAAATAACTACATCACTTTGCAGTTAGGGCTATGGAAGGAAGGAAGGAAGGCCATGGAAAGCCCTTCCAGCGGGTTACTGTCATGGCCAACCAAAGCAATGAGACCCAAGAATTCTGAACGTAGACCGCTGCGTACTGGGGATAGATACCTACAGCACAGAAAGGAGTGGGAACAGACTGCCAGAGTGGGACTGGATGCATGTCCTGTGTCGACAGGAGATTTCCCATTCCTGAGGTTACATGTGTTTCATTTTCCACTTTTTACTGATAGAAACTTAGGAATGAGAAGCTGAGGCCATGGGGAGCACAGTTCGTGCTAAAGAAATTTATGTCGTAGTGCTTCAAGATTTTCAGTCTGTTCAACACCCTTAATGTTTTTTTAATCATGTTGTGAGAAGTCTCACAATGCCAGTGCAGAACAGTTGCAGGTGACGTACATCAGACTCCACTACGTTAATTTTCCCGTTTCGCAAAATGGGTCCTGGTTCAATGGTTTGACACTGTGCATCTGGCTTTTCTGTGTCAACTTGGCCGTGCCAAAGTGTTTATGATAGAATCACAGACCAGAAATGAAATCTCGGTCCGTTAGACCCAGCAGCAACTCTTCTGTTCCGTTTAATTTGTCTGAATTTTGCTCAGGTCTTCCTGCCCATGTGCACTGTGCTGTCTCCGTACTTTACTACATAAATTTACCAATCTGCTCTGGATTCGATTTACAGATCTCTGTTATTCCACAGATTTGATTTACAGATCTCCTTTATTCCACAGAACTCATTTTGTCAATTTGTATTATTCTGTATAATTATATTTTTTTTGCTCTTCATGCCACCGAATTTGTCTGGTCAGTTATGCTACACACTATAAATAAATATTTTTTAAAAACAGGTATCTGTGTAAGGTTTGCTGAGGTTTCCCTGCCTCTCACTGTCCTCCTCTCTGCTTTCCATTTCCTCCCAGCTTTCTGCTGAGGGCCCATTCAGGAGCTAATTCCTTACTCTTCCAAGCTTTCCGCTTGTCTGGAAAACACTGGATGACCCCCACCCTTCTTAAGAGGTAACAGCGATCGCTGTAAATGAACTTGTTTTTTTCCTGGACAGTTCATGAATGGAGAAGAAGAAAAATTAATGGATGCATCTTCCATCGTTTGTATTACTCAAGATTTATTCTTTGACTAAAGTACTTGGAAGCGGTCCTACGTACGCTAGGAACTGCTCATTCCGGAGTGCCAACGCGTTTTCGTGTCTTTGTTGGTTTTTGTTGTGCGTATTAGGGCTGCTGATGGAGTTATGTGAATTTGAGGAATGTTGGAATAACATGCAAATACAGACTAATTATTTTTTTACCAGGAGTGCTTGTGTTCAGAGAGAGGCTGAGGTGCCATCGCCCAGTTAGATGGCTCTGGGGTTACTACGTAACTGGCGCATTGTCAGCACAACTTGAGAGAGCTCAGACTTGGATCCTGAGCTGGCAAAAGCAGGAAAGCTCTGCTGAAAACAAGGGAGCTGTGCTGAGTTGTATCCGCTGAAAAACTCTTCCATATTTCTTATGCTTTCCACTTCTGCCTCCCTGGTTGGGAAGATCACAGAGGTTCTGACTTACCCTCTCTTCCCATGGGCAAACAAACAGAAGGGAAGGTGTTTCAGCCCAAATAATGAACTGTGGCAGAATTCTTTGGTTTTATTATCTGAATTCTTTTTTTTTTTTTAAGCTTATGAGTAAGAATAAAGTAGATGGAAAACAAATCGAACAGGGATATGTGAGTTTTGGCTGCAAACAACTTGCAAACTGTGAAGAATAAAAAAAAAAAAAAAAATCTTGCTGATTTAGAAAGAAAAACACCATCTCCACAGGCACTTCCCCCAGCTGCGGGTTTGAAGACCAGCAGATAACCAGCAGGCAGGAATGAAAGTCCGTGCTGAGTGCAAGAACGTAGCCCAGTTGTGACAAAGCCAGAGCTGGTCTGATGGCTGTCAGCTGCCCGAGAGCTGGGGAGCCGCAAAGGAGCTGAGGACATACCTGTGAGCCGAGCTCATTGGCCGTACTGGAAATCACTGGAAATGTCTGTTCCCATTTTCTGGTCAGTTTTATGGGCTTCCTCCTCCTTCCTCTGCTTCCTCCTGCGCCATATGGAGCCAGGGTTTGCTTCTGGCCTACAGAGTTTGAGCTTTGGGCTGCCCAAGGTGTGGACCTAGTGTGGGGGTAGACGAACACCTCTGATTTGTGGAAAGTCACACAGGACATTTGCATTCCCACTGAGAACATGATCTCTGCTTACGGAATTTATGGAATCTACCTGATGCACATGCTTTAGAGACAGTAACCAACGTGTGTCATGCAGCACAGTAGCCCTGTGAATGACCAGCACCATAGAGAGGGACCTGACCCTTCCTCAGCAGAGCTTTGTGAATAAGGAGAAGAAAAGCCAGCAGAGGGCTTGGCCAACTCATCACACAGATTTTTCTTTCAGAGAGAGATGTGAAAGAGCCATTTAAAGAAGCTGCTTTCATATAGAAGTTGCCAAACAAGGTCAGAGCAGACATCACCTACTTCTGAGAGCAGCCAGCACCAAAAGCTTGAGAGGTGAATTCGAAACCAGGAGCCCCAGTGATCCCTCTCGCATTCTGG